ACTGAGAGGGGCCTTCAGCCAACTGTTTGTGAGCCACAGAGGTCTCAGTCCAAAGACCCCCAAGAAAGAGAGTCCTGCCTTTATCCACATACGTGACCTAGGAAGTGGATCCTTCCCAGTTGAGTCCTGAGATGACTGTAGCCCTGTGAGAGACCCGGAGCCAGAGAACCCAGCTAAGCTGTGCCCGGTTTCCTGACCCACAGAAGCTGGGAGATAACGAATGTTGCTGTTACATGCCACTAAGATATGTGTGTAATTTGTTACATAGCAACAAATCACTAACACTGAATCTTGTTTTTCTATTGTAGTAACAGATAACTCTTTTTTGTTTTAAACTAGTAACTCAAACGGAGGATGGGAAAAGAGGTAATTTAATCCAATCAGAGGTGTTCAGTGCTAGTCAGTGAAAAAATAATTAAAACTATGTGGCCCAACTAATATTGGTTAAATTGACCTGATCTTGGAAATAAAGGGCAGCTGAAGTGCTGGTGTTCGTTATTCAGTAAAGTGGAAGCAGGGTAGCAATGAACGAAACAAATGAATACCAGCAACTGTAGTATGATCAAGAATCCCGTGATAGCAACATTTAGCAGTCAATTTGAGTTTTGAGGGACTGCAACATTTAATTGAGGAAAATGAGCAGAACAGAGAGCATCAGAGGGGCAGGAAGATAACTGGGTATCGTGGAATCCAAAAGAAGACAATGTTGACAGTTGACAAGAATATTGGAATCCACTGAAGCCAAAGTAAGGTGAAGGTGAAAAGGGGCTTATGGGATTTTGGCTATGCTGGTCACTGGTGACCTGAGCCCTGATTGTGTGGGTTGGCAGCAAAGGAACTAGTGAGGCCCAGGTAGGTTGAAGGATGAGTGGGAGCAAAAAAAAAAAAAGGGGGACAGCAGGTAGACAACTACTTGCTGACAAGTATTTAGACAGCTACCAAATAATTCCAAAAGATATTACATAACAGGCAAATATTAGAAAAGGAAATACTGAGAAACAAAGTGAGCATGTGATCTACAAGTTGCGAGTGTGCTGAAATATATTTTCAGTTCAGGATGAGAGATATTAGAGAACAGATAAATATGGGCCTTGACAGAGAGTCCTGCAAAGTTTTAAAATGAAAATCCTTTCAATTTTTGACCTCCCAGTTGTTATATTTTCAAAGTACAAAAGAGATTATGCCATTTTAAAAGGTTTTAGGAGGATTATCCAAAGACGTGACCACACAGAATTCTTACCTGGGAAAAGGTAAATTATATGTTGCAAATAAGTAATCAGATTATTTCTCTGTTTGTAGTTTCTAAGAGAGTAAAAAATCATCCGTCTTCTCATGGAACTTTTGGTATGTTTCCTTTCTTAAAAAATGAGGAGGGTGAAATATGACCTTCAGAAGTCCAGGGGAATTTTTAGACCTAAGAAAAGATTGAGCTGGGGTTGGTGAAGGAAGTGGATGCTGAGTGAAAATTGATATTAAGCTTTGATACAAAGGTCAAGCATTGCAAAGGACAGAGGGAAAGAGTGGATGGAGGGCAAGGAATTAATGTGATCACTGTTCTGAACATGTCTATGGTTAGAATATATCAAATGTATTCTGCGTTCAGTGTATCAAATGTCCCTGAGAACACGTGGACCTTTTCAGCGGTGAATATTTCAGTATTAAAAAGGGCATAGTACAGAAAAACCATACTGACTCAAGGAATAAACTTTTGTCTTTGAAACTTGAAACAACAAATACCAATAAAGCATGAAAAACATGCTTTGAAGTGTGCTAACGGGTCAAGAGTGGACTTAGCAAACTACCTTTTCTCTGGTTAGGAACAATCTCCCCAATTCTAAAACAAAATGTGGTAATTAAAGGATCTCAGGTAGCAATCACGGAATATTTTTCATGACAAATGAAGAACACAAATATTCTGAAGACCAAAATTGCATAAACAAAATGAAGAGACATTTTGTCCATTTTCTGGCATTGTGAAGTTAGAGTGAATACAAATGAATGCTCTGGCAGTGAAATTACACTATTAACCATCTGAAGATTGGGCTCATTACCTAAGAAGGCAAAGCATCAATTTGTAGCATTATAACATTCTGTCTGTGCTGCTAAACACGTGTTTGGATGTTTTTATGTGTTCTCTACTCATTTGGGTGCAGAGTAAGCACTTTGCATCAGCCTCTTGATAGAAGCTTACTTTTGTATTGTTTCTATTATATTGTTTTTCTCTAATGGAAATGATATTCTGTCTTAAAAGTAAACACTCCATTTATTCTCCAGAAATTCTGGGTTCAGGTTCTTTTGTTTCTCATTATCAAATGGCAGGTACAGCATTACAGATATATCTTAACATTGAGGCACTCTTTGATTTAAAAATTATATTTGAATAATATGTGAGGAAAACATTCATTCGATCACTCATTCTTTCATTCTTTTCATGTGTATGTAATGGGCTAAGCACAGTGGGGAGAATCAGGGATGGGTGTGACATTGTTTCTCCTCTCAGGATGCTTATAATGTAGAAGTGGTAGAATATTATCAGTACCTTCAGATAGAACAAACATAGAACCGTCAAATCTCAGAGGAAAGGGAGAGATGTGTATTCCTTTATTCCACAAATATTTTTGGCTACCTGTTATGTGCCAGGCACTGTTCTATGGGATGGGTACTTAGAAGGGAACAAGAGAATCAAGGCCCCTGACTTGTGGACCTTGCATCTTTGGGGAGAAATGGAAAATAAGAAAGAAAAGAAACAAATAAATAATATGACTTTAGGTTCAGGTAGCCATAAGTGGTGTGAAGAACAAACTAAAGCAAGACAATACAAAGGACAATGACAGTGAGCAAGGGCTGTGGCTTTGAGGTCATGAAGGCCTCTGGGAGTAGGTGAGAGCTGCGTAGAGATTCCATGATGTACAGAAGCAAGTGAAGGAATATTTGTGCAAAAGGCTTTCTAGGAAGAGAGACCAATAGAGAAAGACCTTGGGGCAAAAATGAGCTTGGCAAGTTCTGGAACAAAAAGAAAGCACATGACTAGAGTGCACAGGAGGGGAGAATGAGATGTGGTCACAGAGGTGAGATGAGATTAGGCATCTATGAATCACCCAGGCTAGAGAGGAAGACCAAGGACAAATCCACTCAAGTAGTCTAACCTAGAGGTGACGGATTAGAATCTATTGTAGTCCAGTTAGAGGTGGTTGGTTTGGACTAGGATGATAATTACTGAGGTGGTGAGAAGTAGTTCCACTTTAGTGGAAGCTTCACAAAGGAAGTGTTATGGAACTATTAGAGCTGAACTTCAAATGATGGGCAGCAGTGTGACAAAGGTGACTCATTCATTGATTTATTGAGTGCCTACCATGAGATGGGCACTGGGCCAGGTGTTGGGGATAGAGCAGTGTAGAAGCCCTTCCCGACAATGAGGAGAAAACTTGTTGAGGAAGTAATATTTTAAGTAAAGATACAACAGTAGTGAGGTAAACAATACTTATAAGAATTGCTTCTAGAATTAATTCTAAGGCTACTGTATTGTTTTCCTTTTACTGTAGAAAACTGTATAAACTCCTTTGTACGCTTGACTCTCCTTGAATTGGCAAAAGTGTTAAGTTTCTATCAGTAGAAACTCAGTCTACGGTCAGTTGGCAAATTTTACCAGATCACTTCCTTGGGAACAGTGGTTAATATTTATCGTTCCCGTTTTGAGCAGGAGAAATTATAGCCTCCTTATAAAGGAAATGAGCAGAAGGGAATACAAACCATGATAAGCTCGTATATCTAGTTGCATCTAATACTGCTCATCTGCCACTCTGCCTCACATCCTGCCCCCGCGTCTTTTCCCAACTGGATGACCCAACTGCAACTCTCCTTCCTTCTAATTCTCATTGTATAATGCCTCCAGAATTAACTGACCTAAAGCATTGTAGTCATGTCCGTTCCCCAGTGCTTACAGAATAAATTTCAAATTCCTTAGGCTGACACCAACTGACCTAACCTACTTTTTCTGCTTTATCTCTGGCTCCACTCTCCACTCGCCAATTGTTTTCATCACAATGGATTGTTTTTCTTCTTTTTAAGAAAAAGTTAAAATAAAATAAAATAAAATAAAATAAATAATTAATTTTTCAAATTGTGCTGAAATTACAAAACATGAATTCTGCCACCTTAACCATTTTTAAGTGTACAGTTTAGCGTATTGTTGTTCAAATCCCCTTGGATTTTAAATCACACAGTATCAGTATTCCTCTAATGCTTCTGGCAATTTGTTCCCTGGACCACACCTGTATTTATACGATTCCTTTTGGCCCCGGCAATGCCTTTCCATTTCCTGACCAATTAAAATCCTATGCATCTTGAAGACCAGCGCTGAGATCCTACCTCTTGCTTTAGGCTCCTATGAAGCCTTATCTGGAAACAGAAGGTCATCTTTGTTGCCAGGTCACCTACCGCTAGAGTTCAAATGATGCCTGGTTGGCAAATTGTATCTGGACTGAGAGGATTTATACATGAACTATATAAATACCTGACAGGGATGTAATTCTTTGGACTTCTCCGCGTGATGATTCCTGTAATTAGGCAGGATCTTTGTCCCTGGAGGCTAAACCAATGGACTTGTTACAAGAGATGCTGCTGGTTACGGAGCATGAGGCTTCTAATCCAGGAACATTCCCATGCTCAGCCAGCATTGGTCTTATCTTCTTGCACCTGAGCTGTCACCTGAGGTGCCTGGAGCGATATTTGTAATGAGATAAGGACTCCCACTGAAGAGAACCTCTGAAGCTGCCATCTGGCCAGTCGTGTGTCCTATATTGCATCCTTTTAGGTAAACTGAAAGCCGAGCATGGCCCATAGTAGTCTTGTGAGTCTGACAGTTTAGTTGAACCTATGAAGATGTGCTGTGGGGAGTTGCACCAATATGTAGAAATGTCTGAAACACTAACACGCCTTGCACCTCTGGACTTAAACCACTGGGACTGTACCTAGGGCGAGGCTAATAAAGCACTGCTTACCTTTGGAAGAAGCTGGATTGCCTGTAGAATTCTTTGTCTGTGTCCAGAATTAAGGATTCCAATTTCCAATAAATCCTGATCTTCCATAACATTGCTTCCCTGAAACAACACCAGAAATGTTATAAGTTAAATCAGGACTTATTACTAAGGGTAATAATGATTTATTTAATACACAGACAAATAACTGACAAGTGATCTGAGTTTCACAAACAAAAACAGAGAGTCATTCTTCTGTGAAGGTGAGGGCAGAGTGGTCACCTCTGTGACTGAGTTGAAAGTTGTGGGAAATCTCTCTTCTCCTCACAAATATTCTCATGGCTTTCTATTTCTGGTTGGATTATCTGCATTGGAGATTCATTCCTGTGACTTGAAACTCTGTCCCTTTAAAAATGTAAATGCTAGGAAGAACTGCCATTTAAAACTATCAGTGACCAATATATTGATGTGAATGAATTAGACACCTCCCCCAACCCTCCTCTCCCACCGTCTGGACCCCGCGCCACCTGAAAACAGAGATGGAAAGACTGAGCTTACTAGGCAAGTTAAAAGTGAGAATTAATCCTAAAATATTGAATACTAGACACCTGGTCAATATGAGGGTATAGAACAATAAATATGATGCAGGTCCCTGCCCACAATTGTCTTTATTCTTTTTTGTCCAGTGGTGAAAACCAATTATTCAAAGACAGGATGATGTGAATGTGCTATGATGCTGACACAATGCTTGGGAGCCCAGAGGGGATCAGGGATATGTTTTCAGAGGACATGATATCTACTCAGGTATCTGAAGGATGGTTATGACTTAGCATTCAAAAGAGGAAGGACAAAGGAGAAATTATGCATGATGTCCTCTGGGTAAGAACACAGGTGCTTGGAAGCATCGAGTTCTGGGGTAAGTTGGAGACAGCAGCAAAAGGTAAGGCTGCACAGGCAGGCACAGGCCAGACCACCCAGACACTGCATGCCATCCTGAGGAATGTGGGCATCATCCTGTCTGTGATGGGAAACAGGGACAGGTATTAACGAAAAGGAGTTAGTTACATGATGAGATCCCCAATTTAGAAAGATCAATTTGGTTTCTCTGGCAGGGCCTCAGTGTCCTTACCTATAAAATGATTAAGTTTAGCCCCACAATCTTCAAGGAACCGTCTAGACCTGAAATTCAATTATTTCAATGAATTTTTTTTAGACCTCTGATTAATATACAGAAACTTACAGAATGCTTATTTTGTCCATACATTTTATTCTTTTTGGGGTTTGTAAGCTAGAGGACTCCTTTAAATTGAGGCGTCTAGGGAGAAAATTGAAGAATTTAGATCACTACTTTTCTGGACAAATCAAACTCTGTCGTCTTAACGTGGAACACAAAAAACACTTATGCGTAGAAATTACAAATATCTATTTATGGAGAGCAATGGGTACTGATGGGCAGTCAAAGTGACAGAGAATGAATTGGAAAGGGCAACCCTGGGGCATGGAGATCATTAGGAGGCCACTGAAGTTGTTCTAGAGATGATGTTCGATTAGACTGAGGTAGTGGTCATGGGAGGCAGAGAGAAGTGAGAGGACTTGAAAATTCAAGAAGTTTGTGACTCAGTGACCATGTGCTTGGAATGGCGGAGACATGCGGAACACACACGGGTTCCACGCCTGGGCGAGAGGGTGATTCATGGTGCCTTTTCCCGAGCTAATAAAGAGAAGGGGCCAGTCTCATGTGGTACAAAGTGAGACTAATGTCTGTCCCTGGACAGGGACAGAAGAGATGGATGTAAACAATTTAATATCAGACTACATTACAAACGAATAGATGACCATTCTTAGAAAGATTAAAGCCATTAGAATGGTACCATAGCTAGGGACTTCAAATGGGCATTCACTGGACAAAAACCTTCCAGCTATTCAGAGTGTCATTCCTATGCTGAAGCTGCCCTGGCATTCTTGCAGGAGGCAGAACGATCCAGGTACATAGCAGTGTGATAATGAAAAGCTTAATGAAAAACAAATAAAGCCAGTCTTGGCAATGTGCCACAGGAAACACTGCTCTCAAGAAATTACTCAGTGCACACAATAGAGCGTGGCTGAGAATATAAACGACTTCATTTTGGAAAAGCGTTATTATTTTCAGGAATGAACTAGTGTGTCGTGAGCGGGATGTATGATACAACTCACATTTGATTTTTACTCTTTGAGGGGTTTTCCAAAAGGAGTTAGCCAGCCCTTATGACACAAACAAAACAAGAAACCTCTAGCTCTCTATATGTTAGACCATTACCAAGTTTTCTGTGGACTCAATTACCAGCCTACAAGTCCAGCTCATACAGAATACAGAACCTGGTTTCTTTGTACAAACACAAAACACACCAGGAGCCTTTAGCCTGAATTAGCTATTATCTACAGGTAATCCTGAAAACTTGATTTGGAGAACTGAACCCTTAAAGACCACTTCTGTTCCTCCAAACTCCCAATATACCATCTTCTCGATCTTCAGGCGGGGAGGAATCTTTTTGAAGAATTGTAAGGAAGTAGGACATCTTCTCCTTGGGTCAAATTTCCTAGCATATTGGACAATTACCAAGCACTTTTGAAAAATGAATGAAAATTATGGGAGGCACAATGCAAATGATGAGAATGTGCCCAAGGGGAAATGGACCTAATTGTAGAAATGTAAAGAAGAGGATTCACTGTCCCCAGTGAGGCATGCTGTTAGAAATTTTCTATTTTTGCTCTTATTGTAATAGATGGGGATGCCAAAAATATCCTGGTGCATCATCTAGCCACTCTTTTTTCAAAACAGCACTAGGCTTGGAATCTTAAGACATGGGTCCCAGTCTCATCTGGGTACACTTGGCTAAGTCATATATTATTTCTAGGCCTCTGGTCCTCACCCAGATAGTGAAGCAGTTTAACGAACATCCATTCAGTTCTAAAATGCTGTGATTTCAGTCATGTCCAACTTTTGATTAGTATCATTACATATAAATATAGATTGTATAATTTGAAATTACATTTTATTGTTTCAGAACTTGTAGCCTAAAGTTAGCTTTAAGAAGTAATTATGGAGAAGGGTAAAAATGCATGGTTGTGGGGTGTTTTTTGTTTTGTTTTGACAAATTCACCTTAGTACTAGGAACCTATACAATTTCTTATTAAAAGAAATGATAGGGCTGGCCGAGTGGCGCGATGGTTAAGAACTGGCTTGGGACGCCAGAAGGCCCCAGTTCGGATCCCACATATGAGGGCCAGTGACACTGCCCTCTACAGCTAAGATGCTGAACAACAGCTCCACCTGGAGCTGGGCTGCCATGAGTTGCCGGCGACAGTGTAGGCTGCAGCCCCTGTGGCAGTGGGTTGCCATGGGCTACCATGTGTAGCCAGCAGCCAGTGTGAGCGGCCGTCCAGAAGCCAGCGACTGATCTGCCTTGCCTGGGAAGAGCGCAATGATGGTGCCAACTTGGGCCAGTGAAGCAACGTCCTCCACAACTAGACTGAAGAACAAAATGACAGCAACTTGTCTGTTCCCCTTCCTCCAATTCCCCAGCGCTGTTCCCATCCCCCCAATTCCCCAATAAAAAAATCTTAAAAAAAATGATAGAATACCTTATTTTTATAGTGTCATGGGTTCTTACAGGTTTTCAGAGAAAAATTGAATGTTTCAAGTCTTACAACTAACCGTTTCACTTGCACATGAATGACAGTTGCACCATCAAGGACAATAAACATTTCCATTTTTCCTAGAAACTGGAATTTATTCTCACATTATCACTTGCCCCACCAAGTTCCTTCCCCTGGAACCATTCAGCATCTCAGCACCAAGCTGCCATAGCTATGACCTGTGTCTGTGCACATCTGCGCTTTATATCCATTATTTTGCACATCCATTAGCAAGCAACATGTGTCCTAAGGTATCAGAACAGCCTAAGAGAGCTCCTAAGGGAGTTAATGCTTAGTGTAAAACTGGACATAATAAGCATTCCAATTATGCTGAGCAAAATGAAGACATTACGCATGTGTTGAATTTTGAGCCTGGGAACACTCAAACATTTTCCTACATAAATTAATGATAGTTGCCTCTCCACTTTATGCCGCTTACAGAAGTTTTCATAGGCACACTCTACTTTTGGATGGCAGGGAAAAGCTGCACATATGAGTTTTCTTGGAATAACAATGCTGTCTCTTAGGTTTTATAAAGGCTCTGAATCAATTTGATATCAGTTTATAAGTATACCCTGATATGTCTTTTCTGCATTATTATGATAATCATTATTGTGATAAATACCAGATTTATAATTCCCCTATCAGTGTTGAAACAAAGCTTTATTTAGTTTATCATACGGAAACATGGGTTACCATAAGTGATCAGACAGTAGATAATGTGCTCCTTCCAGTTTTAATTCCCTCCCTTACACTAAAGAAGTGGGAGCAGAAAAAATATTCATTATATGTATTTTTACCTCTCTACCTTAGCCCTCCATTTGAACATATTCTGTCTACTGCAGTGGAATTTCTTGTTCATAACTAAATTTTCATGATTTTAGCTTATGAATAAAGTTTTCTAGATTCTTCAGATCACATAAATTAATGATTCAAATAAATGTCACATTTAAACAATGTTAGAGAGCAATAAGTTAGAGAACATCTTACATATGCAAGTTACATATTTTAATAAGTTGCATGTCAGACTTGCTTTTTTAAGATTAGTATTTAACAGTGAACATGATCACAATGAGTTTTATACTATCATTTTCTTCCCTCATTATTTTTCAAGCCTATTTCCCCTTTGAAATATCTGTTCTGAAGCTACAGAGAGAGGAAATTTGTAGAACTATTGAGCAAGGTTTGGTGATATCATAAGTTATAATTATGATTCATTTGAGACATGTGTTCATGTAGGTTTTAGAATTATATATATATTTATAAAAGACTGCAAAGTCATTTGTACAGTCATTTGTGCTGTTGTGGTAAAAAATTTTATAGCTGCAAGAGAAGGAGCCTATTCGTTTTAAGGCTGCTAATCCCTACCCTATAAGAAAAGCTGATGTGAACAAATCTTATTTGGATGCTCTTATTTTTCTCCGGATACATACATAGGAAAGTTTAAA